AAAAAAAAAAAAAAAAAACTGTTTCCATGAGTGCCATAGAGACTGATTTGTAGGGATGTGTTCTGTGAGCGGTGGTCACTGACAATAACCACCAGAAGTGGTCATTGTTTTCACGAGTCTTGGACAAAATATGTGTAATTGTCGCAAATAATTTCATTGTAATACCTGATACAGTAAATAAATCAAGAGTTTTGCTAAAAATGTTAATTGCCTTTTCCTGCTCCTGAAAGAGTTAAAGGTCACTAATTTAAACCACTAAGAGTTTCTGGAAACCGTAACCTGAGGTCGAAACTGTATATGAAAATAAAAGTTCTAAGAATGAAGCAAGAAGCTGTATGAAGGTGCAAGTGTTGTATAGACTTGCAAAAACTGTATGTTGAATTATAAAGTAAGTATGTTTTAGTTCGACCGTCTCAAGCGCAACCCTGGTTGGCATTCTGCCAAAACACATAGACTCGTCCAAAAGGGGACTTACTTGCTGCGACATGAAAGGTCTTTTCTCCGGAAAGAGCTGTGTTAGAGGGAAAGAAAGTCAACATCCTTGCACCCTATTTTGAGAATAATTCGGTCCTAATGGCGCATGCGTGTTTGCGCTCATGGTTGCGGATGAGGCGGTCGAACTATATCTTCTTTAGTTTTCTACTTTATACGACTTTGGTCTTCTAGCCTCCTGAGTGCCGTAACGAAGGACCCGGGATCGAATCCTGGAGAAGACATGTTTGTAACTGTCCGTCCATTCATAGGAGGCAACGGTGGCCACCTATTAGGTGCTTCCATAACGAAATTGCTACCACTTCCGGCCCTTGTAGTGGCGCAAGGCTAATGGCTATTAAATGAAGCGCCCGGCTATTAAAGAAAAAGTTCTCTAGCTTTGTTGACGCACTGTGCATGCGTATGTTTCTGAACTAATTTTTGCATTGAACATCCTCGATTTTTAATTTTTATGCGTTAAAAAGTTTATAGAATAATACTTTACAGTGCCTAAATGTTAGTTTCGTAAGGGGGGGAGGGTCGGCAAATACATGTTTTTTCAAAATAATATTCAGACGCTATTTATGATATTATAAATCTCTACAAATCTTAAGGTACGGGTTTTTTCTTCAATCGGGGTGGGGACATTTCTTGCAACTGCAGAACTGTTTGCGAAGAAAATTTTAAATAGCCGTTTAAAATCTGTAGATCAGTCAAATTTAATAGCTAGGCTTAATTTGAAGAACACCATCAAATATCATGATTTTGGAAAAATCAAAGTTATGTTTGTTTCATTAGTGTATTTATCACTTGAGTGTAATTTCTTCCTGCCAACCTATATACATAGATAAGGGGGGGGAATGTTTTCGTTTCAAAGTTCGATAATGAGTTTTTAGTGAATAACCATGAACACACTTTTACTATTTTTAGGATGATATTTTATCTATATCGTATGTGTGTGACGATTATTCCTTCCACGATAACTCTTACATCATATTTCCAAAAATTTCCATCTTCAAAATTTAAGCTTACTGCATTCATGTAAGGAGTTGATTAGATTTTTGGTCAAATTAGACTACCGGAAGCGGTACTTTATTTAAAGCCCATTAAAGTTTTGTAAAAAATTTTGCTGCGTATGCAACACATAACATATTATTGCAACTGAACGAGCAGCATTTACTGATATCAAAATACCCCGAAGATGTAAGTGCAGATCAAAATGAATTTAAATTTGTTGATACTATAGAATTATAGTATAGAACCTATAGAATTATAGGTTGTTGGAAATATTGGACAAACATTAAATGGTACTTTGTCTGAAGCTCATAATAGGTTTGTTTACACTATAAGGCATTTCTCCTGCCTTCTTAGCATGCGTTCGTTGTGTAGTGGTCAGCACGCTCGACGCGAATTCGAGAGGGCCAGGTTCGAACCCCGGCGAGGGTATTGCACTTTTCCTAATGATTCCAAAAACTCATTATGAAGAGATAGTTGTATTAGCCTGAATCCTCAATTTCAGCTTCTTTTCACTTTTGTATCGAATCAGTTTTCAAACAAAAGGATGTTCCAACCAAATATTATCGCTATGTACTGTTTTTAAAGAAATAATATAGCAAATATAAGTAAAATAGAGAATATAAAAAAGTTTCTATCAAAAAACTGAAATTTTATTGGGAATTCTAAAGATACACCAATTTTAAAGATTTTGTGATTTTCATGTTGGATTTTATGTCGCGTACGGGTGAAGAAAGCGATGTTTAACAAATAAACCTCAAACGACATATAAAAAAGTTGAACATTTTTAAGAAAATTCAACACTGATATCATAAATTTAGAAAAAGACTGAAAACGAAATGCATGACAACACTTAATACTCTACTGGGAATTGTAAAATATGCTATTCTTAAATTGTTAAGTCACTGAGTTATAAGTCCAAAACAATTTATGATTAGAGAATTTTCGGATGAAAACATGAGAAAGGAGATGTGCACATGAGCACGTGTAGTTATCATTGCCCATCGTACGACAGAGCAGAATAATAATTAAAAAAAAAAAAAAATCCGAAATGTTTCAGATTTTAAATTACGTCCAAAGGGGCGTTTTTTAACATTTTGTGCGTTACTTTTATTTGTTAAATATCATGTTCTTTGCACTTAAACCGCAAAATTCAGCTCAACAGCAATATCACAAAATAATTTTTAAATAAGCATATCTTTAGATTTTCCGATACACAGTCTCGCGAGCTGAAGATAAAAATGTTTTTTTCTGTAGAGCACTGTCATTGCTTGCTTTGAAATTCCTCAGTATGTTAATCAAAAATTCGTTAAAGTTTTACAAAATATGAAAACGATAATAAAAAAATTCCAAATTTCAAATTTGGACTTCCAGACGCAAATATTCGCTGGAGGATTACGTTATTCAAAATTTGATGTTTCTAGGTACCGTTGTTTTATCAAAATTCAGGAGACATACATACATTTATGAAGATTTTTAATCGTTTAATTCCTTTAAATATAATACAGGTCGATAATATTTGTTGGCAACAGTTTGAAAAGTGAACTGACATTTATAGGAGTCCGACGCAAAATGCCAAAACGAAAGTAATAGTCCTTCGGGGACTCAAATCCCTTTAGACTAAAAATAAGAGAATAGAATAATAAAAAATGAGTAATGTTTATAATTAACAATAAAATAAAGAAATTATATTTTTTTATTTTATTTACAAACGACCAACAAGCAATGACAGTATACATAAAACTCGTTGCAGTTCCATTTTTTAGTATGAAATTGGCAGGAGGTAATCTGCTGGCTACATTATTTTTAGTCCAAAGGAGCGTTAGCCTTGAAGGGCTATTAGTCTCGAAACGGGATTTTGCTTTGAATCACTGTAAAATACTGAATCTCTTTTGAAATTGTTGCACCAAATACGAGTATTATCGCCCTGTGTTATTTTACATAATTCAACAAAGGAGAATTTTAGGAAATTATAAGAAAATTCAACAAAGGAGAGTGTGCATAAATGTATGCATGTATCTCACATTCTAAAAAAAGACGGTACCTAGAGCCTTCAAATTTTGAATAACGTAATCCTCCACCCAAACATGGGCACCGACAACACTGTACAGAAAAAAAAATTCTACCTCCAGCGCGCGAGACTCTCTGTCGGAAATTCTAAAGATATGCTGTTTTTAAATGGTATTTTGAGACACTGCTGTTGTTGCTGTTGAATAACAACTACATAACATAATATAAAATCTGAAAGCTTTTAGATTGGGGGGGGGGGCGCGGGAGCAGCTTTCATGGCTTAAAGCTCCTAAAGTTCCTTTTTGTGGCAGACTTCATTTTTGTTTGGCCTTTACTTTTAACCTACATTTCGCAGAATTTTGTATGCTTTATATTATACACTAAAGAGTATTTTTTTGAAAAAAAAAAAACATAAATATTTGAATTATAACGTAAGAAATATAAGCGCTTAAATGGAAACGAGAGGTTTTTATTTTAATTTTAAAAGTACCTTATAATGTCTCATATTGTTTCAAAATATAAGCTAACGAGATGCTGACACTCTGTGCGAGGAATTATCCTTAAGTCGTAACTACGACAAATTCCAGAGAAAGATTTAAAGAACCCTTTATTAACTCAATATCTATTTCACAGTTGGCAGCAATTCGTGCTTACAGAAGCCAACACTTTTTGCTTAACTCAAAAGGTAACAAGTAACGTAACAGGTTACTGAACGCGCACGTAGTGCTCTGACTAGTAAAAATCGGCGTAAGCAAACCCCATGTCTAGAAGCGCAACGCCACAGAAATCTAACCAAAAATCATTAAGTAAATCAAAGATAAAAAAGCGACTTTCAGGCATGCATAACACGCTCTACTATCACCTTCCGAAACCTTACTTCTTTCTAAATCATTTGAATATACGCGCGCTAGTTTATTAACATTCTGAAAAGAAAGCGTGGATTGAAAACGAGAATAAAATGAAAGTTGCTTTAAAATAAAATTAACTGTTAAATAAATTAAATGAATTCCCAAAACTTTTTAAACTTTTTTTACTTTTTTTAAACAACTGTCTGTTACGTGAAAATCGAAGGACAGAAAAATGCATTACGTGTGTTACAAAGAAAACGCATCAAATGTTAATCAAATAAAACATCATACTTGAAACGTGAATATACCTCCAGCGTTTCCTTTGCTAGAATAGTGCCAGCCAGGCCGTTTTATTATAGGGTATGTGTCATGAATCTGCTGCGGTAAGCCAAACAGCTGCCTGCCAGAGCCCAGCAAGTGAGAAAGACGACAGTTGCATGTTAGCCTCCGAGGTGGAAGGTGGTAGATTTTGCTATGTTGTAGGAGCGAGGTACTGCTCCGAGTTTACTATTATTCTTTGAATGTTAATTTTAATAAATGTTTTTTTTAATGGGGCCTCATTGAACCGTGAAGCCATTATAGTATGTTTAATAAATAGTAAGAACAAGAACCCAATGGCAAGATCCTAATGGCAAAGGGGTACAAGAATGCACTTACTTTTCTCTCCTCACAGGGGCTTGTGCTACGTGTTACCCTTCTTGAGCTGAGACGATGGACTTAGACAGTCCGTGTGTGTCGCCACCGAAGCCACAGCAGCGACCTTAACGGGAGAGAGCTGATGGCGGACTTCTGTAAATAATAAAAAAAAATGATAAGTTTAGTGACATTAGATCCTAATTTAAACAACCTTTTAAACATTAACAGTTCAAGCTGTAAATAAGAGGCAAAGTCAAAACTCATAAACACTGTGACACTCAAAATTTAACAATATGTTACCTGCAATATTTCAGCTTAAATAACGTTTTATCAGACAAACCATCAGCTACAAATAAACAGTAACAGAAAGAACCTACGTGACACTCGAGCCAAATTTAAACAATAACTGTTAATTTCAACTGCGTATTGAGTTACTGCTTCGGAAGGTACGGTACGGTACGGAACTAAGAGATAACTCAAGTGACACTAGTGCTTAGTTTAAGAAATAGCGGGTTTTAACGAAAGTTTCCCGCCATCGCAAATATCATCTGCACAAACAGTTAGCGTTGGTGTGTTTAATCATATTTTGTCAAACAATTTTTGGCATTTTAATAAAAAGAGATTTTCTTTTGAATACCGTGTTGTGAAATTTCTAAACAAATATCGTTAAGTACAAGGTGCCTGAAATGAAACCATCCCGCTACCAGATTAGAACCATTATTTACTTCCAGTTCTGCTGCAAAAATTCAGCTACAGAATGTTACCAAATCATGTGTACAGCTTTAGGTACTAATATTGTAACGCCATACAGCCAGCCCGTTCGCCGGGACTGGAACTAAAAGTGTTCAGCGGCTTTTACCGCTCAGCCGCTGGAGGGCAATGTGAATGTTTAGTACCGAAAATCAAAAGCTGAAACTATGATTTTCAAGAAGTAGAACGCTCTGGCTTGCCTACTGATGTTGATGAAGCCCACCTGCGAGAACTTGTGGAAGAAGGTCAGTACGCAACCACTCAAAAGCTTGCTAAGGAGTTAGACGTTCGTACCATGTCCATTAGTCGCGCTATGCATAGCATAAACTTAGTTCAAGTTCAATCGCTGGGTGCCGCATGAGCTGACTCAAGCAGATGAGTGCAGGCCGGAACATGTGTGTCCTCATCTGCTTGAGTAAGATAAGGACACACATGTTCCGGCCTGCACTCATCTGCTCAAATATCTATGCAAGGACAAAATTCTGGACCGGATCGCCACTTGTGTTGAAAGTGGATTTACATCAACAACACAGGCCGAAAAGGGGAGTTCGTTTGCGCCCAGTGAACCCGTCTGCAGCGTCGCAATGCGCAATTTGACTAACAAAAACATCATGCTTTGTATCTGGTGGGATTGCCGTGGTATTATCCACAAAGAATATCTAGAAGAAGGTAAAATCCTCGACAGTAAGGTGTACAGCGAGATGCTAGTCTGTGTTGATGCTGCTATCAAGAAAAAAAAGTCGAATTGAACTCCGGCGCAAAAAGGTTATGTTCCATCAAGATAATGCAAGACCACCTGTGTCTGTATTCACCGGCTGGACTCTGTACGGACTCGAATGGGATCTTTTTACCACACCCACCTTATAGCCTCGACATCGCTCCTTTTGAACCTGTACCTTTTTTCACACCTGCAGCTAAATCTTGCTGGTGCTATCTTCCATTTTGCACAGGACGTCCGAAATGCAGTTGATCTGTTTTTGTACTGCCGGCCACCATGTTTCTGGGCCGAAGGCTTTGAAAAAATAGCAAAACGGTAGCAGAAAATCATAGATTTGGGTGATGATTACTACCTGCACTAAGGACACGCAACCGGTAAAGCGGTTAGCGTCGCTGACTGCCATGCCGATGATCCCGCGTTCGATTCCCGGAGAAGGCATGGTTGTTTGTAAATGTATAGTGCCTGTGCGGCATGGGGCCACTTTAACCCATTAACGCCCAAATTAACAATTCTTGAAATTTTGCCTTGAAATTGATAGACATTGTTAGAAATGCATAAATTAAAAGTATTTCAAAAGCATTTTGAAAAATTTTAACTGCAACCATATTTTTTAAGCCGTCCTCATTTGAGGACACTGGGCGTTTGTATATAAAAATGTAAAATTTTTAAAAATCAAAATTTTTTACATAAAATGATTTAGTTTTAATATATGAACAAACTAATAGACAAAATAATGTTAAAAATCAAAATTTATTTTAAGACGTGTAAGAAAACTTTTTTTTTTTACATTTTTAAGATAGATTTTTTTATGGAAAAGAGGAAAGCATTGAATGCACAATGTTTACATTGCATTTCATGCAATATGTTCTTGGCTTTGAGCACAATTGTCATATTGGCAACGCCTTTGTTTATCTCTTTTACCAATAACATGCTGTATTTGTCGAATTTTATGTCAGGAAGCACGTTCGATCTGCATGTTATCCTCCTTTGTACTGGTCTTCCTAGGATTGCTTTTGAGTCGGCTCCTTTTTTCAAATAGGTTACTGCAATGTATCTCCTAAAATCTTTGATTGACATTGAACGATGGATCCTTTTATAAATGAGATAGGCATTTACAACAGCCATATCTATCATCCTAGTAATAAGACAAAAATACCATTTCTTTCCTCGTATGGCTATAGAATGTTTCTCAAGAAGCCAATCATGAAGATCGACACCCCCCATAAAATGATGTATAGGAACTTATAGCATGAGGCTGATTTACTTTCACCTTTTCTTTTTTCTCTACACTCCATCTTTGTACTGAAGATAGCGGCATTATTGTGTCAAAATTAGTGGCCAATGAAACACACTTATTGTCTTTCCATTTGACAACAAGAATTTCATTTGTTGTGTCAAATTTACTATCGTAAAACCCTCTCTCTTTCTTACTCATTTTCATGACTTCAGTTCATACTTCAGTTCTTTCAGTTTTTTTAGTAATGCATGACTGGTAAAAAAATTATCAAAATAAACACGATGGCTCTTCGGATCTTCTTACAATAGAGTAGATTTAGCACCACTTTTGTACCTAAAGGCAGTTGTCAGATTCGGAAGTATTTGTTTCCTTTCCACAATACAGTGCAAAGTTATAACAGTATCCATCGTTGCCACACAGAGCCCAGAGTTTAACCCAAATCTAATAGGTTTAGATTTTATAAACTGTTTCAGTGTATGATGACCATAATACCGGACGATCATTTCATCAACAGACAAATTTTCATGGAAAATGCCCCATTTTTGAAAATTCTTGGAAAGCATTTCTAACAAGGGACGTATTTTAAACGATTTATCATTCTTGTTATATTGATGTAATTTATTATCTTAGAAATGCAATAATCTTTTGAGCTCTAAGTAGAAATTTCTAGTCATAGCATTCTTCACTATTGTTACTCCTAAATCATCTGCTTCTGCCCAGTAGTCCCGTTCACTGGGTAAAGTATGATAGCCCGAAAGTATCAGAAATCCTATAAATGTTTTTATTTCATCTTTAGTCACATTATAATTCAATTTATTTTCATTTCGTGAGCATATCGATTAGTTTCCTCTACGATCATATCATAAACACTTTCAGTAAAAAATTCTTCAGCAGCTCAACTGGACTCATATTATTAGTTTTGCGCTGTCAATATATCAGAATTTCTCTTGGACAAATTTTCCAAATTCCCAAATGTGTAAGCCGGGCTTTCATTCGTCCATACAATTGACTCTCTTTTACGTTTACGGGAATTTTTCCTTTTTCTTATCCGAAATAATAGGGTTTCATTATCATCTGGCATTGTAATTTCTAATGTACCTGCAACATCTGATACAACTGGAGTACCCAAATTATCATCATCGAATTGCTCTTCATCTGTTAGCTCATCCACATCCGGAGGCATCGATATAATATCTGCTTCTTTTTCTTCAGGAAAAAAGATAAGCAGTCGCCTCTTCTAAGCTTTTAAATATTTTATTTCTACTCATTTTCAAGATTTATTTATAGTTTTTCTGCAATAAAAGTAACAAACACTTAAAAAATAAATCTGAATACTGCATAAAACTATACCCAAACGCCCAGTGTCCTCAAACGAGGACGGATATGTTTTCCTGTTTATTACGGATATATTTACAACAATAAATATTAACAAACATGCTAATGACACAATATGGGCTATCTAGATTATATTTATAACAAATTGAAAGAATTTACCTCATAAATTCAGTGCCATACAGTGGAACATAAAATAAACAACGCGATTACCAAAAAACGGGTAAATTATACTTTATCTTTCCCGCGCAATTTTACTTAGTTCCAAAATAATTGCACATCTCCCATTGTATGGTGATGTCATCTATCGGACCAAATTGTACATATAAAAATTTTTTTTCAATTTAATGCAGGGAATAACAATTTTTTACAGCGTCCTCAAATGAGGACACTGGGCGCTAATGGGTTAAATATGCAGCCAGCCGGAAGTCCTCTCGAGAAGCTGACGATAGAGGAAGAGGGGTGCTGGACAGAACTGAGTTAGATCACACTGTCAGCTGTAAGGTGTTCTGTTGCCAAGGACAAGCGTAAACTTGCTCTACTTGCCACGAACAATTTCGTGGCTGAATTTGGCTTTGGCTGGTCAATTTGGCTTTGGTCAGACAAGTGAGGATTACCAACAACAACCTGCACTAAAGCTACTTTATGAGGTTATTGATAAACGGATTGAAAAACCATAAATTGCGTTGGAGCGATACATGTATGACAAAAGTTGCCGTGGTGAAACATCTGAAAGCAAGAGCATTGTAAAATACTAATATCAACTCAAGAAGAAGGGGAAAAAACTTGTATTGGAATTACAAGTTTTCAACGGGCTCAGCTTCAACGCACACTATAGCGCATTGCATGGAGGAGATTGTTGACAACAATGATGAATGTAACATCGCGTGAAGAATCCGTATACTTCATGTTTTATGGCATCTTTCAATACTGACAAATCTCGTGGATTTGATGTGCACACCTTAGATTTCAGATAACTTCAGAACCAAATATCCACCGGAGTGAGATCGGAAGATCGTGTTGGTTAAGAAACTGCAAAGTTACGGAAGATGACACTATATTAGCAGGTTGAGAACTTGTAATTGCAATTACAGTTTTTCTCCTCTCCTGTCTTGT